GCAGAATATTCATGTATTAAAATATCTTTTGATATTATATGTTGTAAGTTTTAGTGGAAACATGGAGGATCCTATACCTCTTATCAATTTCATCTACAATAATAATTATTAGTTTGTCATTGGATCTTTTATGTGACACTTAAGGCATCAAAGGTAACATAGAGGTTATTGTCATGTCTAAGATGAGAAATGTATAGGAGATTGTGAAAGAGTTGGGGAATATGAATGAAATTTGGAAGGAGGAGCTTACGGTGGGGTGGTTAAAGAAGTCCTTAACAAGAGTGATTGATTGGAAGTGATTGATTATCATCAATTTTGACATTCTCGTTGCCATAGTATTCAACTAGCTGGAAGAGATTATCTAAATTTTTGTCAAGTGACCAGAGGCATTGTAGTCAAGAATCCAATCTGAGGCAATTTTCAATTGAGAGGTGACCAGAGCTATAGATGATGGTTGAGGAGTGGGATACTGAGTGTTGAGACGATGCCAGCACACATTTGTAGTGTGGTCCCACTTGCTACTGATTTGCCATAGAATAACCAAATAGGAGGGAGGATGAGGGGATCTAGGGGATCTAAGGAAAAAATACTGGGTTAAGTAACCTTGAGTATAAGTGGGGTTGATATGGCTATGGCCACGTCTACGACCTCGGCTCGAGTAGAGCACTGAGTGCAAGTTTGTGGTATTAGAGTCTTTGGTGGATTTAGTGATTGTATTGATTTCTTCACTAATGAGAAGTGAGTAAATGTCTTTGAAGCTTTTGGGAGTTAATTTGGTGTGGATGGAGGTTTTGAAGGTCTGGTATTGAGGGGGTAGGGCAATGAGGATATACAGGATTATGTCCTCAGTGGAAATATATGAACTGGCAGCAATGTCAACCAATGTTTTGACTAAAGGTGAGGAATTGAAGCATCCTAGAATTACCCATGGTAATATGATGATATTCATTTTTTAGTTTTATAACTCGGGCTGTATTGGTGGCTTGTAGACGTTGCTCCAATGTGATCCATATACTGAAGCAGATGTCGAGATGGAGGACATATGGGAGAATGATAAAAGACAAAGTGGAGCAAATGTCAACAACAAGATTTTGGTCAACAAAGGTCCATTGCGTAAAGAGGTTATTGGATGGGATGTGCTATTTGCTTAAATAATAAGGTGAGGAGATGTGATGGTAGTGTGGACGAAAGAGGAGGCATATTTGTTGGCGCGGAGGAGCTTGAGGATATGAGATCACTAGTTTGGGTAGTTATCGCTAAACAGTTGGTTCAAAACAATGTTCCGAATGTTTGAGATGAGAAACTTCAGGCATATACGAATGGGAGGGTTGTCCGAGAAGTTATTTGTGGAGATCTTGTCGGTTTGAGAAGAGGGAGAAGTGGCCATTTGAGGGGATTAGGAATGCAGCAAGAGATCTCTGATACCATGTGAGAGTTCTTAGACTTTACAAAAAGTGACTTCCGTGCATATCGACAGAAGACAATATATGAGGAAAGGAAGAAGACACAAAGTAGAGCAGAATATTTTCTTCTATATTTCTGTATTACCTGAGTGTATACATTACTGTAGTTGTTTTGTGTGTGTGTGTGTATATATATATATATTAGTTGTACAAAAAAATTGTATAGTAATGCTTTATATGTGTATGGTAAGGATTATTTAGGTTTGCTATAGTCCTACGACTAGAAAACGTTCTGCTATGTGGATGGCTGCTCAACTCAGTTGTTACTGTCAGAGGGAGCGTTGGTTGTTCATTTTACCAAAAAAAATGGTAATGTTTTTACTTTATATTGCCTTTTGAATTAGAATTGAGTAATTTTTTTTTTGGGGAAACCCGCAAGAAGGGCCTACGCGTTAATATGAGGGCAAAATTACAAGGTCCTTAAGGGAAACTCAATCTCACTACCGCTCAGAGAGCTACAATCCAAAAAGAGAAAAAGAAACCTAGGAGTTCAACTAGAAACATTCTACAGTGCTTAGGAAAAAGCACCCAAAAAAAGGGAGAACGCAAAAAACAACCAAAACACTCCCAGCAACAGGACTCCACCTGAAAGATCAACATCAACACTCCCTCCTGCAACAGCCAAAAAAGCGTAAGAAGCATAATATAGAGAGAAAAACTAAAAACAAACAAAAGTAAATTAAAGACTTGAAGATAAAAGGATATATCCAGCTTAAATCCCTCCAGAGAATCACCATGAACTCCCTGCAAACTTAAAAGCTCAACAAAATTAAAAACCAAAACAAAGAGAAAGACCCTATAAAACAAAAATCCCCACGTGTATCCGACGGCCCAGCAACAGACATGGAAAGACCAATTAATCATTGACATAAGGCAACCCCAGACGGTCCAGAACAAGCAGACCCTTAACATTAGACGAAAGCAGGTGAAAATCCAAATCCATAACATAGTTTAAATCACAACCAATGCCAGCCAAAGCAGCAGCAGACGCATTGGCCATAGCAGGAATGATGGAAAATGTACAATTAAGTAAGTTAAGATACACCCTAATCTCCCTCAAAGTATAAAACTCCGTAGAAGAGCAATTATAAACATCTAAGTTCCTGATCATCCTGAAATCAAAATAAGATTCCAAAATAACATCAGCCATGCTCATATTGATGCACAATTGTAAACCGTGAAGCACCCCAGCCAAGACAGCACTGGAGGAAAACCCCCTACAAACAGGCCCAGCAAAAGCACAAATGAGAGAACCATTTTGATCCCTAAGAACACCCCCAAAACCAAAAGAATTACCCAACCTAGTACCCGAAACATTCAGTTTAACAGAAGAAGAAGAGGGCTTCTCCCAGGTAATGCATCTAGAATTACGAATAGAATAATCCACCATTAAATTAATGCCCAACTTGCGGGCAACAAAATTAACATTAAAAAAACTTTTAACCGAAATAAGCTGGACAGAATACAAGGCAACCACTTTATCCTTAATGTTATGAATAATCCTCATGGAATTCATCTGGACCCCGTTAAAATGGGACTCATTCTGGGCTAACCAGATAAACCAAAGAATCAAACAGGGAATGACATTACGAATATGACCTTTAGTATTAACCAGCCAGCAATCCACAATAGCATATAAAGAAGCATTAGAAGAGAAAAAATGGAACTGAAACAAATCCTCAAAATATAACCAAACCTTAACAGCAACAGGACCTGAAATAAAGACATGGTGCATATTCTCAATATGGTAGCAGCATTGACATTTAGAAGGTAAGAAAAACCCTTTTTTCCTCAAGTCATCATCAGTAGAAACCAGCTTATGAAGAAGTCTCCAGATAAAAATCGAAACAGTAGAGGGTATAGACTATCAAGTTAAAAAATTTAGTCGGAGCCTTAATGATTCTGAATGAATTCCAAGCTTCCTAAACAAAAAATTTACCATCCTTAGAAAGAGAGAAAAGCAAAACATCTTTAGAGTAAATGTTTAAAGGAATTTTTAAAATAGGCTGAATGATACTATCAGAGAGAATGTCAGAAAGTTTCTCAACATCCCAGGCATGCCCAGCAAAAAAATGGTTAACTTTAACATTCGTAGTAGATACAGAATTTAATAAGGAGTCAATGGACTGACCATTAATCCAGCGGTCTTGCCAAAATGAAATGGAGCCGTAACCAAGCCCCCATGCCAAAAAGGGCTCAACCTTCTGCTTAATCGAGCAAAGATGTTTCCAAACTTTAGAATTACCAACTGTGAACCCACAAAGAGAAGGATGCCTCCTCCCACAATACTTAACAGTCATGAAATTAGCCCAAAGGCAGTCATTGTTCCTGAGCTTAAACCAAAGCTTAAAAGAGAAGGAGACAGCCAAATCTATCATTGTTTTACAACCCAAGGCCCCCTCATCCACTGACCCACAACACTTATTCCAAGAAGACCAATGGATCTTGGAAGTGTTAGAACTACCTTTCCAAAAAAAAATTATTGATAATTCTTTCAATCCTCTGACAAATAGTATTCATAGGAAAAAGAGTTTGAAAACAATAGACAGGAATAGAATAGAGTACACTTTTAATAAGAGATAAACGCCCACCAAAACTTAAGAAATTAGAATCCCAAGAAGATAATTTGTTATGAACAACAGAAATTAAATCATCGAATAAAAAAGACCTCTTCCTACCCTTAAATAAAGGAATACCCAAATACTTCAGAGGTAAAGAACCTTGAGTAAAACCAGTAATGTTCTGAATCTCCACGGCCCTAGCCGCAGATACTTTCTTACCAATAATAAAGCAGCTCTTAGATTTGTTAAAGGACAAACCACTGACATATTCAAAATGATCGAACAACCTTATAATTTTACCAACCATATTACTGCTAGCATTAGAAAAGACAATAAAATCATCCGCAAAACAAAGATGGGAAATATTTATACCACCTAAAGTATAAAAATAAAGGTTAGAACAATTTTTAAAGGTGTCCTCCAAACCCCTGGACAGGTAATTAGCGGCAAGGATGAAGAGGGCAGGGGAAAGAGGATCCCCCTGACGCAACCCATGAGACGACTTAAAAAAACCATTACTCTTACTATTAACAAGAATAAAAAAGTAAGGAGATTCAATGCAAGCTTTAATGAGATTGATGAAAGCAACATCAAAACCAAAAAGACTCAAAATCTTATAAATAAAATTCTAATTAATATTATCATAAGCCTTCAAAATATCAAGTTTCATGATCATGTTGCCACCACGACACTTAACATCATCATTGCAAAATTCTTGTGCCAACAGGATATTATCAGAGATAGCTTTACCTTTAACAAAACCCATCTGGTACGGTGAAATGAGCTTAGGCAACAGAACAGTTAAACGATTCATAAGAATTTTAGAAAGCACTTTATAAAAGACAGTACACAAGCTAATGGGTCTAAAATCATTCCAAGTATTAATAGAATTATTCTTAGGAAGCAGCACAACAAAAGTGGAAGAAAAGAATTTAGGAATAACAGAACCCTTAAAGAAGTCACTAACATCATTAAGCTAATCCCCAGAAATAATATGCCAAGTTTTCCGAAAAAAATTAGAGGTGTAACCATCGGGACCCGCCACAAAATTAGAATCTATGCCAAATAAGACAACTTTAAGCTCCTCAAAGGAAGGAGGAATAGATAACAAAGCATTGTCCTCACTAGAAACCAAATGAGGAATAAAAGCAGGGTTAGGAGAACTAATGGGAGTAAAGGTTTTGTTAAGATGACTTTGAAAAAAATTAACAGCAAGGGAAAAAATCTCCCCATAATCCTCAGACATAGTCCCATCCTCTTTAGCAATTTTATGAATGAAATTAGAAGACCTCCTCTTCTTAACCAAAGCATGAAAATATTTAGTGTTTCTATCCCCATCAACCAAATGCTTAACAGCCGCTTTCTGTTTCCAAAACTCCTCTTGATCTTGAAACATACAAAGATCCACCTTAGCCTCATTAAGCAAAGCAAAATTAACCTCAGTAGGATCGGATTGAAACAAGCTATCAAGAGAATTAACTTTAGATTCAACTGAAGAGATGTTGGCAAACAAATTTTTAAAGACATTATGATTCCAGCACTTCAACACAATTTTAAGCCTTTTGAGCTTAAGCCACAATCTATGCATACCCGAAATAGTGTCATCAGGGAAAACAGGGGCCTCCCAATTAACCTTCACAACATCAAGAAAAGTGGGGTGCAGCAGCCACATGTTCTGAAACCTAAAGTGAGAAATAGGGGCAGTACAATCATTCTTAATATTAATAAGAATAGGGGAATGGTCAGAAAGAGTACGACTAAGATGTTCAACTTTAGTCAAATGAAAAACATTAAGCCAATCATCATTAAACAACACTCTGTCCAATCTTTGCCACAAATGACCACGATGCCAAGTAAAATTGTTGCCAGTAAAACCAATATCAATAAGATTACCATTTGAAATCATATCATTGAAATCTTCCATGGACTAATAAATGGGAAGAGAGCCCCCCAAGCATTTAGAAGGACAAGAGATAGTATTGAAAACCCCACCAACAATCCATGAAAGACTACAAACATTATGAAAATGGCAAATACGCTCCCAGAGGATTCTTCTAGTAAAGCGAGAAGAGGCGGCATAAACAAAAGACGAGTAGCATTGAAAATTAGAACTTTCAATATTACAATGAAGAACTTTGCGAAAGTTCCCAATGATATCAATTCTAACGAAATCCTTCCAAAAGAACCAAATTTTGTTGGAAATGTTAGCAAAAGAAGACTTGAATCCCAAGAACTTAGCAGTATCACACAATTTGTCAACAGAAATAAGAGGTTCAAGTAAAATGAGGATAGAAATGTTATGCAAACGACATAAGTTTTTAACTCTAATTCTAGAAGAAGGGAAACCAATACTCCGAACATTCCAAATAATTGCGTTAAACATAAAAAAACAAGATTAATGAGAAGTATGAGAACAGGCATTTCTAGGCGATAAAACAACATTTTTGGGCTTCCGGCCCCTCTTCCCACAGCCCTTAGAAAAACTCAAGTCATTATCAGTTCTAGCATAACATTTTGCCATAATGTCCTCCTCCGTGTCAGTATACGCATCACAATGATAATGATCAACTAAAAAGGACTTAGCATAAAAATTAGAGTCAACCGGCCCCACAAGTTTGGCCAAATCACTTTCTAAGAAGAGCATACCATCCTCAATAGTTGAAAAATTATTAGAACAACCCCCCAAAGGAGGTTTGGAAACAACTAAAGATGAAACTTCAGTTACAACCGTAGGCTTTAAAGCCTTGGAAGAATCAATATCTCCAAGATCAAGCATGACTTCCAGATTATCTGAACTATGAACAGTTATAGCATCTTGCCAATTAGCTTCATCTAAGGGAGAAAGAGACTTGTTAGTAAGTAAAACATCATGAATAAGCAAATGAGAAGAATTAGCATCATTAACATGCAAAATAGGATCGATATTAGAAGATAAAATAGGAACATTAGAAACCATAATATTAGCATCGTTAACAGGCAAAATAGGTACATTAGAGGTTATAACCAAATCCAAATCATTAGTAAGAGAAGGATTACAGTCCTATTTAGCCTCAACAGTAAGATCGACCAACTCATTAGGATGAGCAGGCTCCTCCCTAGGGTCATCACCATTATGAATTAACGGTTCCAAAGGAGCATAACCAGGAACAGGCACCTCACCAATGTTTAAGGATTCTTTCAACGATTTATCCCCACCCTCTTGGGCACCATTAGAGGAAGAAATACCTTTATCCTTACGAAGATTAGGGTCCAACCAAAAACATTCAGTAATACCATGCCCATGCATCCTACAATGGGAGCAAAATGATGGGAGATTTTCGAATTCCACTTTTTGGAAATATCCCTTCAATTCCGAACCCAACCAAACTTCCTGAGGATGTTTTTTGGACACATCAAGTTCCACCAGAACCCTCGCCACAGAAGGTCTCGATAAAGAAGCAGTAGCTTGATCTGTTTGCAAGGGTCTACCAAACACAGCAGCAAGACCAAAAAGAATGTGAGAATTAAAAAAATGTAAGCGCAGGTTAGGGAAAGCAATCCACACCGGGGCAACAGGAGATTCCTCCCTCACATCAAAATCCGGTGACCATTTGAGCAACCTCATTTGACAACCCTGCACATAGTACGACCGCCGAGAAAAAATACGACTATAATCCAAGTCATTCGTGAGTTGTATAGCTATATGACAAGGATCCAAAAGCCCCACATTGAAGGAACCAGACAACTTAAGCGAAAGAAAAAACTTACGGATAACGTCTAAATTAGGTCGACGAAGAACAAATTTTTCGACCAGAGTAAAAGCAAAGGGCTCAGCTAACTGAGACACCACAGAATCCTCTAAAAACAGAGCAGTACAACCCTTAAATGAAGATCTAACAAAAGGAACACAATTAGCTGAAGAGAAAGAACCCCCCCCCGAGACCTCATCCTTAAAAGAGCGATTCTTACTAGTAGGAACCGAAGAAACCATAATCATTTCAAATTTAAAATTAAATTATAAATATTTCTTAATATTTTTAATATAATTTATTTAATTATTCAAATAATTCCAAAATTGAACCGGCTGGTTTAAGAGAACCGTGACCAATTCAACAGTTTGCCAGTTGAACATGCGGTTTTGGCAAGTTCGATGCAAAAATCATTTTTAAGGATGAAACGGACCGACCATAAGAGGGGTTCACAGTTGAACCGAACAAATCGGCCAATCGGGTCCGGTTTTTAAAACATTGTATTTTTCTCTTATGTTAAAAAGCTTTAGATTTAGGCTTCATCTAAGACAGTTTTCTTACTTACTGCTTATTGAAACAGTAGGGGCTTAACGCTGTTCCAAACAAAGCCTTAACTTTGTATAATGGTATTTTGATACGCAACATTTTTTGCGCGTGAAATATTTCATGCTTGTCTGCTACAGCTGGAAAGCTTGAAGGAGCCCAATTCTGTGGTTTGCAGAATTAGTAGATTACTTACTACAGCAACAAATCTTGAATCCCATAAGTCAATTTCAAGTATTTCTCTCAAATATGAGAAAAAATATCCCATAGTTTGAAATTTTACGCCTTACTATAAATGAGACTTTTTGTTAGCTTGATTCTTTTGATTGTGGGTCAACTGAGAAAACTTATTTAAAAACCATAATCTGATCAATATATGAAGAATTATTGATGAAAATTTTGGACAACATTGAAAATGATGAACACTGCAAGAGAATAATACTATGAGGTGCTTCAACAAAGCTTTTTTTAATGCTGAAATCAACTGTAAAGGTAAATGTGATGAAACCTTTTTTTTTTTTTGGAAACAGAGCTTTAAAAAGGAGAAGCAAAGAGCTATACTTAGGGTTACATGAAGAGTTGAATTATAAAACTCAAGTACTTTTTTTGGGACTTCGAAACTCAAGTTCTTTAAATGGATTTCTGGTCCCGCGATTGTTTGAAACTTGTTCTTGAATGAAAACCATGGGTAGTTATTAGATAAATAAATAGTTTTTGACCGAAGAAGAGAAAGAGAGAGAGAGAGAGAGAGAGAGAGAGAGAGAGAGAGAGAGAGAGAGATGAATTGAGTGAGAGAGAGAGAGAGGAAGAGTGCGAGAGGGTATGATAGAGAGAGGGGGAGAGAGAGTGAAGAGAGTAGGGTGGGGATAGAGAGGGATAGAGTGAGAGATAGAGGAGAGGGTGAGAGAGAGAGAGGGTGAGAGATGAGAGAGAGAGAGAGAGAGAGAGAGAGAGAGAGAGAGAGAGAGAGAGATTGAAATTTTATTACGTTCGGTAAGATGCCAAATACGTGCTTAATGTTTTGATATTTTTTTAGGGGAATTGATGTTTTGATATTTCATGGATAGTACTGTGATAGCTACACCACTTGTATAAGCTTTGTTGGCTTATAAAAGTATAAGATATGTATGATAATACATGATGCTCTTAGTATATTATTCTTACGAGGCATGACCACAACTTCATTATATTTTATTCGCAAGTCTTTGAAAAAGCTTTCGAGAAATTTATTGAGAATTTTTTTCAAAGCATTTTGTTTTATGTTTGGACTGTACCAATCTCTACCTATAAAGAGCCACTTAACTATCTTCAAGTCATATGCTCATCTCTTGGATAACCACTCTAGTGGTCCATCATAATAGCTAGGGTTCAGCAATAATTATTTTGCCTCTTGCTCTCCCTTGAATGAGTTACGGTTTTCTTTATTGCTGTACGTGAAGCTTAGGCCAAAGTTTTTTTTTTCCTTCCTAATTATTTGTAAACTCTCTTACTCTGTTATCATGAATATTTAATTATATAATAATATAATAATTTAAAAAATATTTTAAAATAAAAATTTAAATTTCTATTTGAACTGGAGAGCTTTGATGCTGTGCTTGGTAGCGCTGTGGCGCTAGGCTTGAGAGCACAACAACATTAGAAATCACCGCCACAATATAAGAGGTTGTGTTCTACAATAATTCTAGATTCAAGAGTTGCAGCGCTTGGTTGGAGCACTGTATTGAAAGGCCACTAACAATATTTTATATATATCTAATTCTAAAATCCTAAGCACTAAAGCCACAGCTGCTTCCCCCCTCTCCATTTTTGCTTGGCTTGTCATGGAAGATGTTAGAAAAAGTGATCAAAGGAAGAAGAGAGAGAGAAGAAAGAGAGAAAGCTGGATTTAGTCATCTTTTGTTTGTTGCTTTAGTTATGAAAAGTCTTCTAATCGTTGTAAGTAACATGAATCCCTCTCTGATTTTCAATGGTTTTGAATTTGATGAATTTAATATCTCCTAAATCGTTAAAAGTGTATTTTCTTATTTATCACATTTTTTCATGTAACTTTTTATATACAATAGATATAGATTTTATAGATATTTTGATTGTAATAATATTGAATTCACTAGGTAAAATAAAATTTGTTATTTTTTAAAGTTATTGAGTAATACATAAATTTTCCTATATTATATAATTTAAGTATTTCATGTTGCATTTCATGCATGAAAAAAAGATTGATAAAATTAATATAATATAAATATGACATGTAATCACAGGCAGAGGGAGGAGGGGCACAGGACAGGTGCCGTAAGACCGTGGTAGGGTGACAAAGGTCAAGGATCATAGTAGGGTGACTGAGGTCAGAGTGACCATAATCAGTGATTAGTAGAGGCCAAAAGGACTGTAGTCGAACATCGACGAAAGTGGGAAGGACCGTAGTTGGGCGACAAAGGTGGGACGAACCTTAGTCGAGTGACAAAGATTTGAGGGACTCCTTTCAAGTGAAGGAGGTCGGAGGGGCCATTTTTAGCAGGTGATGAAGGTTAAACGAACCATATATTATCGGCGGATTTTATCCGCCGGTAATCCCGTGTTTTCCTGTAGTGGATATGGAGGTTGAATGGATAGTAGTTTGGAAATAAAGGTTGAAGGGGCCAGTGTCATGCAATGG